TTGTTGTTGCTGCTGCTGCTCCTGGAAAGAAAAGGCCTGCATCGTTCGATTCTCCTCAAAAACAGCCTGTGGCAGAAAAAACTGCTGCTGTTGCTGCTGCTCCTGCTCCAGCAGCAGCAGCTGCTGCTGCTGCTGCTGCTGCTGCTGCTGCTGCTGCTGCTGGGGATACGGACTCTGAGATATCACAGGGGCCTGAAAAACACCCTGCGACAACAGCACTGGCTGCTGCTGATTTTGAGAAAAGGACTGCGGCAGAAGAGACTGTTCCAGCAGCAGTCCCTCTTCATTTACACCAGATGTAGCTGCAAAATCATTGCTGATCAATCTGTTGATTGCTGCGCTCTCAAGGTTGCCTCTTCTACCCAGAATCTCGGTAAGATCGCTGCCCAGATTCCCAAATGCATTGCCGCCCAAATTTCCAATCAAATCATCACCCAGATTTCCCGCCAAAGCTCCCAAGGCAATATCACTTCCCAAAATCTCCTTCCACCACTGCTGCTCGTCCAGAATGCTCTGTTCTCGCGGTGATGCAGTCCCTAACGCGTATGGAACGTCAGAGAGACCGGAACCTCTGTCATTGCTACTACTACTACCCAATGGTGGCGTTAGAAATGCTTCTGTGGCTACCTCCTGCTGTTGTCTATGCTGATCCGACGGCTGCTGTCGCTCCTTCCGTTCCTCCTGCTGTTGTTGCTCCTCCTGGTGCTCCAACTCCTGCTGCTGGTGTTGCTCTAAGAGTCCTTCCGGCCTTCTCCATCCGCCCTTGCTGCTACTCCGTCCCCGCTCTGCACTCTTTTGAGGAGCCTCAAGATTCTTTTCCTTCTGATGCTCCGCCTGCTGCTGCTGGGGCCCAGGGGCTGCTCGGGGTTGCTCTAAGAGTCCTTCCGACCTTCTCCATCCGCCCTTGCTGCTGCTCTCTCCCTGCTCTGCACCCTCCGCCGCCTCCTGCTTTACCTCCACCCTTTCCCCTTCCTTCCCCATATTGAAATCTCCTTCCTGCTTTTCACTCTCCCCCTCATGCTTTCTCTTCCCCTTTTCCCCTTCCCTCGCCTCGCACCCTCTCTTCTCTTCCATCCTCCTGCCTTCCTCCTCCCCTCCCCCGTTGTCTTCATCGTCTAGGCCAAACCTTGCCGGCCAGTGCCGCTTTGCTGTGATCGGTCGACCGTCCTTAGAGTGTTCCATTCCGGAACAACTATAGGTCACACCCGGGGGAGGTAGCGGTGACGTAGTAACGATTATTTACAGCCTTACAGCTATGGCCGCGTGGGTGCGACTAGCTTGTACAGTATAATGAGGCTGTGTTGGTAGTTGCGTCTTGTAGCGAGTACAGAAGACCTGTAGATTGTGTATTGCCAAGAGTATGTTTTATCAAAGGCAATGGAGAGGGGAAGAAAGGGAAAACGGGTCCGGGGGGAGAGGGGAGGGAGTGGGGACGGGGAGGAGAGAAGCTAAAGAGCTTTTCTTTTCTTTCCCATTTTCTTTTCTTGTTTATTTTCTGTAGGACGGAGTGAAGCAGGGAGGACGAGCAAGATGCATTTCCTCCCTTTCTAACACAGTTTTTTCTCTGGAAGAGACCGTGCCAAGACTCACAAAGGGGATGGGAGAATGGAGCAGGGAGGGCGAGGGTGAGAGGACGCTAAAAAAAAAAAAAAAAAAGAGTGAAGCAGGGTTAGAAAGGATAAACGGACGATTTTGTAAGCGAGGGTGAAGCAGGGAGAGGGAGAATGAGAGGGCTTATGTGGTTAAGGAAGAGAGAAGAGAGAAGAAGGACAAATCTTCGAAGTAAATGAGGAGTCGGAATGGTAGTAAAAGAAAGGGATGATCTTGCCAGATCGTGAGAATTTGGGCGTCACATTCGGAGAAGGAAATGTGAGGGACGAAGAGGTTATAGGTTCATTCATACGTCAGTGGATTTGCAATTTCAAAGAGTTAATTCCAGCACTGATCATGATAATTACTACTTGTCACAGCGGCTGTAACTTTTTCTATCAACCGCCCGGCGGGGACATACGCCGATAAAAATGAGACATACGCACCGCGGCAGAGAGAGGATTACCTTCAGAAAGTGAGGCATGTTAGAAAGGTTATAAAATTAATCTTTAGAAAAAATATCATGGTTGTGAGCTCAGACCGCCTGCGGGTAGGAGAAACAATTTCTTCGTCTTAACAAATTATTTCGTTTTCTCCTAATAATCTCTTTCGAGTCTGCCTCCGCATGCCGGCGCTGCAGAGCGAAATTGCCACACCCACGTCATCAGCGATATCAAGCACTCACATGAAATTGCCAGCGTCAACGAAGCAAGAAGCCTGCTTGAACTCTGATGCTCAACAAGTGATCTAGAGTGAGACATCAACAGCTACAGAAGAACGGTTGGAGCAGACGATACCCTCCGTGGGATGGGAGGGTTTCAGGTTTGCTCTTTGCGGGATGGGAAGGATTTCACGACGAACTTGACCGGGCTTGAGTTTCAGATTCAGATGATCGGATCTGATAGCCTGTGCGTCGAACTCGACCACAACCACCAGCACGCCAACAACTCTGTCGGATCGGATCAGATGCTTTCTTTTCGCCCTCGCTCCACACGAACTCAGAGGAAACAAGTCACTTGCTTGCAGCGGAAAGTTTTGGAGCAACCGTCCAGGTTGACAGTGGCCTCGACCGGCTGGCAACTGAGAAGGGAAATTGGACAAGCATGCTTCGAAAACACGTGCTCCGTTGAAGTTTGCGAAACCCAGTGATTCGGTTGAATGTTTGGGAGAATTGTCGCGTAATTCCTACAGTGATTGGGCGGGATAGATGGAGCCAAATGTTTTACAGCGATTCTATCGAAGCACATGCTAATGGATGCGGGAGTGTGTATTACAGTCTCAAACTAAACCAGCATTACAATGGTACACATTAACGTAATGTACAATTGTAGTACGTTATCATTTTATTGTACTAGCGCATTGAGGTGATATACTGAAGTTTCCTTATATCTTTACCGCTTAAAAATAGGGTTATGTGAAGCAGTCGACGCTTTACTTGCAAGTTTGATTGAATGAATACAAATGCTTCATGCTAAATAAGCACCATGGTTGGGAAGTAATCCTGGCACGAACCACAAAATGTCTATCAACGTACAAAAGTAAACATCAGGAAACATTGTCCGAAAGGAAAATCTAGTGTACAGTTGCAGCTGCGTTGATGTTGATGCAGTGAATATCGATCACATCGCTACCGCCATGCCGTGACATTGTTTTTGCGAAGTGGGCGAACCCGAAGAGCACCCTCCTCGTACCGGGGATAAAGCCTTGATGGAATTCTGAAGGATTCAATTCACACCAAGGCTACTTTTTGCGTCACCAGAGAGCATTTGAGCCACTATACATCTATAAGATGTACATCTAGAAATCCTCATCTTCGATCCCGTCCCCGCAACTGGATCTCCCTTGTTTGTACGCCCTGGGCACTGTTTTATGGCAAAATTTTGGACCTCACCGGGCATCGTTGACTGCTCTACTGTATATGGGAGGGACTGTTGTGGGACGGATCGTGCCACGTAATGTGGGTGCAAGGCAGAGGACAAATCCACCCACCACCACCAGCCATCTTTCTACAGCACATGTTGACAACAGATGAAGATCCTGCATATTCTTCGTACAGTGATGTCGCCGCCTCGCCGTCCGGTGAATTCGGAAATAGTTTCTGGGGCGAAATGATGCTGGAGCATACCAGACTGGACGCCTCACCTTCCTATCATAAGACTGAGGGTGTGTTTTATCCCGTGTCAGACATCAGGTCAAGCTTCGGAAGACACAAAGTGACTCTGTTTGTATCTTCCGAACCTAAATTTGCCAGCATTCCGAGTCCCTTTGGGTCTTCCCAACCTCAACTTCGTGTCTGGCTTCGTGTCTGACCGGTTTGTGTCTTCCGAACCTAATTTTGCCAGCGTTCCAAGTCCCTTAGGGTCTTCCCAATCTCAGCTTCGTGTCTGGCATCGTGTCTGACACAGGATAGAAACGCGCCCTAATGCCTCACAAGAAGTTTCCATGTACAAATGTGGATGGGATTGGAGAAAGTTGTCTGGATAAATAGGGGCTACGGGTCAGGGAAAACGGGTCACGGGGGTCATGGAAACGTTCTTGTGTGGTACTGTATACAACCTGTTGTGTGTCCTTGCTGCGCAGGTTCTTGGGCCCACCCAGACATTTCAGGGGTTCACGTGTGCTTTTCAGGCGCGGATGTAACGGCAGGAGAGTAACCGATTAGTCACCTACCACTGGCAACAAACGTACTTCTTTCGTACAACAAACGTGATGCTAGAAGCCTAGTGTAGTGCTTCCTGTCTATAAGCATCTTTTCTAGTTTAGCTATCAGTTTGTATGTTAGCCCTTCTTGTAGGGGTGTGCGAGTTCATGACTATTTTGAGACTATCAATTTCGGTACCAGAACACAACAGTTCTGTACGCATTCAGAGATTTGGTGATCTTGCTTTGGATGTTTTGAGCGCATCAGAAATCCCCGATATGAGAATGCGATGTGTTAGATGGCTCAGACCTCCACAATATACAAATGTATCAAAACTGTACCAAATCATGAGACAAGCTATCCATTCACACTTACATAGCTCTGTTGATCCATTCGAAGACATTTCATATTACAGGTCAACACACGCTCGCCCTTAATTGTTTTGAGGCACTGTCTAACTCAAATACACCCCCTTACCTCCAATACCTCCCTTTCCTTTACTCCGCCTTGCCACAATATCAGCAGCCACTAACCTCCCCACATCCGTTTGCCATCGATCTGCATAAATAATAAGGCCATTAGAAAGCATTAGTGATGGAATGGAGAGCATACCACCCACCACCCACCCACCCACCCACCCACACACACACACACACACACACACACACACACACACACACAAAGGTAGTGATGGAGAGCATGCCACCTTTCTCACACCAAACCCCCTTCTCCTCTCTAGCCCCTTTTCCCCCACCCTTATGCCCCCCCCCCTTCCCCCCTTCTCCACCCCCCCCTCTCCCACTGTTATGTGAGCTAATGAGTGTACATTTTGTCAAGTCAAAGGATTCTTAGAGCTCCCTGTCTAATGCGTCTCAAATCTCTTGACACTCCATGCCTTCTTCTAGTCAATGTACCTTTTGTTGAGTTGAAGAATTCTTGAAGCTCCATGCCTTGGGCTATGCATGGGAAGCACTCGAATCGACAACCCGTCCTCCCCCCACCTTCCTCCCCTTTCCCCCCCCCCCTCCCCCCCTCACTCCCCTCCAATTTGCTCACTGAGATCATATGCGAAATGATCAGTACCTTTTGTTGACTCGAAGAATTCTTGAAGCTCCATGTCTTGGGCTTCGCAGCAGCACGAGAAGCACATGATGCAAGGGTGAAGGGGAAATCGGCGAGAAATGGGTGCACATGATGGGTTATGGAACAGCACGGGAAGCATATGATGCAATTGAGCGTATTCAGGTGCAGCGGAAACAAAGGTGATATCAGTGTATTTGATAAAAAGGTGCACGTGGCAGGAAAGTGATATATGAGTGTGCGTACACTGCATAGAGGTAAGGAGAAAGAAAAGTGGCATGTGTGGAGACAGGAGGGTTGTGAAGGAGACAGAAAATATATGTCAGACAGAGAACATAACAGAAGGGTTGAGAGTGAAGGGCAGAAAAAAAAAAGTGTGAACCATTAGGACACCTCAGAAAGTTTTGAGACGTAAAAAAAAGAAAAAACGAGTCCGAACCACTGAGACACCTCAAGAAGCAACAACACCACAGGAAAGCAACAGGAAAGCAGATGACAGAAGGGTTGTGTGTGTGGTGGGTGGGAGGTAAAGTGGGAAGCATGACTCTCTTGATATGATCGGCTCCTGTATAGCTCACCTTGCTCATACTCATGTGCTTGCAAAATCATCTCCAGCTGGTGTTTGGGAAGATAGAGTATCATGTGTGAGGATAGGTAAGTTGGAAACAGCAAAGAAGAAGAAAAACGGGGAGAAATGGAGAGAGAGTTTTGAGTTGATCTAACATCAGATTGTACTCATGTGCTTGCAAAATCATCTTTAGGCACATGAAAAATTTTACACGGCTTGCTATGGTTCGAGTCCTTCCCTACTCTGCAAAATCATCTTTAGGCACATGACAGAATTTCATGGTAATTGGGAAGATAGAGTTTCACGTGTGAGGATGGGCAATTTGCAAAAGACAAAGAAAAAGCAGAAAAAAAGGGGGAGAAATGAAGAGATGTGAATATGTGATTATGTCAGGTCACCTTTGAAAAAAATCACAAAAGACATGTAACACAGGTCAAGGAAGTGTGTGTGTGTGTGTGTGTGTGCGCGCGCGCGCGCGCGCGCGTGCGTGCGTGCGTGCGTGCGTGCGTGCGCGCGTGCGTGCGTGCGTGCGTGCGTGGGTGCGTGCGTGCGTGCGTGCGTGCGTGCGGGCGTGCGTGTGTGTGTGTGTGTGTGTGTGTGTCTCACCTTATCAAAATCCTTCACCAGTCGGGCTTCGTTTGTCTCGTTTGCTTCATACTCCTCCCAGAGAGCGCGCATCTCGGCTGGTGGTGGGGGAGAGGGGAGGGGGAGAAGCGGTTGGAGGGAAAGAGTGGAAGGTGAGGAGAGCAAGGCAAGGGCACACCTCGTTTGTCTCGTTCGCTTCATACTCCTCCCAGAGAGTGAGCATCTCGGCTGGTGTGGAGGGGGGGCAGGAGCGGGCAAGAGGGGGGGGGGAGCGGGTGGGAGAGGACGAGGGGGGGGGGAGCGGGTGGGGAAATGCCCGTTCTATCATCCCAACTCACCTGCTGCTTTGCGGGTTGGTCCCAAAGCAGCACACATCTGCCCCAGTGCGTCCCTCTCCATATGACCATTACATAATGCTTCTCCTCCTTGCCCACTCCGCACAACACAGACCAAAATTCTCCTCTTAACACCCACCTGCTGCCGTGCGGTTTGGGCCCCAGGGTGGCACACATTTGCCCCAGAGCGTCCCTCTCCCCCTGCGGTGCTCGTGACACAGATACAAGCACGCATCTGCTTCACTCCCTCAACTAATTTTTTCATCTGCTTCACTCCCTCAACTTAATCATCTGCCTCTCTCTCCCCTGCTGCCTTGCGTTTTGGTCGCAGGGCTTCGCACATCTCCCCCAGAGCGTCCCTCTCCCCATCCTACACACACCCACATCCGCCCTATGCTCCTCTCAGCCCACACATGCTCCTCTTAGCCCTCACATGCTCCTCTTAGCTCTCACATGCTCCTTCACTTCACCCTCACCTGCTGCCTTGCAGTTGGGACCCAAAGCAGCACACATCTTCTCGAGAGCATCCGTTTCCATTTGGTGCTTCTCCTCCTTACCGATTCCGCACGCCCTTCCTATCCCTCACCTGCCGCCTTGCGGTTGGGGCCTAGGGCACCACACATCTTCTCAAGAGCATCCGTTTCCATTTGGTGCTTCTCCTCCTTGCCCACTCCGCAGGATGGCGTGATGTCCCCTGCAATTGCTGCCAGGGAGAGAGGGGGAGGAGGGGGGAGAGAGGGTGAAGAGGCAATCATCAGACAGTCACCAGTCTGCCTGCTGCTGCTGGAAAGGAGAGGGGAAGAGAGCAGCGCACATCTGCCCCAAAGGCTTGAAGGATTTGTTGAGACGTCTCAAAACACTTCTTCAATCACATCTGCCCCAAAGGCCCCCTCTCCATTTGGTGCCTCTCCTCCTTGCCCACTCCGCAGGATGGTGTGATGTCACCGGCTATTGTTGCAAGGGAGAGAGGGGGAGGAGGCGTCAGCGGAGACGGGGTGTATGGGAGGGGAGAAGGCGTGGAGGGGAGAGAGCAGCGCACATCTGCCACAGAGGCCCCCTCTCCATTTGGTGCTTCTCCTCCTTGCCCACTCCGCTCCGCACGATGGCGTGATGTCCCCTGCTATTGCTGCAAGGGAGAAGGGGAGCAAAGGGGTGTGGGAGGAGAGAAGGAGTGCGGGGAGAGAAGGTGTGGGAGGGAGAGCGTCACTCATCTGCCCCAGAGCGTCCCTCATCTGCCCCAGAGCGTCCCTCATCTGCCCCAGAGCGTCCCTCACCTCACCATGTGATGCTTGCTTCTCACCATGTGATGCTTGCTTCTCACCATGTGATGCTTGCTTCTCACCATGTGATGCTTGCTTCTCACCATGTGATGCTTGCTTCTCACCATGTGATGCTTGCTTCTCACCATGTGATGCTTGCTTCTCACCATGTGATGCTTGCTTCTCACCATGTGATGCTTGCTTCTCACCATGTGATGCTTGCTTCTCACCATGTGATGCTTGCTTCTCACCATGTGATGCTTGCTTCTCACCATGTGATGCTTGCTTCTCACCCTTACCCACTCCGCACGCCGGTGTGATGTCACCCGCTATTGCTGAACGGGAGAGTCGGGAAGGGACGGTGTGTGAAGGGTTGTGAAGTGAGGATGTGGCAGACGAGAAGACTTTTTAAGTCGACTTTTGAGTCGAGGTTACTTTTGAGTCGAGGTGACTTTTGAGTCGAGGTGACTTTTGAGTCGAAGTGACTTTTGAGTCGACTCAAAAGGGACGGTGTGTGAAGGGTTGTGAAGAGAGGATGTGGCGGACGAGATGACTTTTGAGTCGACTTTTGCGTCGACTGAGCTGACTTTTGCGTCGACTGAGCTGACTTTTGAGTCGACTTTTGCGTCGACTGAGCTGACTTTTGCGTCAACTGAGCTGACTTTTGAGTCGCCTTTTGCGTCGACTGAGCTGACTTTTGAGTCGAGGTGACTTTTGAGTCGACTCAAAAGGGACGGTGTGTGAAGGGTTGTGAAGAGAGGATGTGGCGGACGAGATGACTTTTGAGTCGACTTTTGCGTCGACTGAGCTGACTTTTGCGTCGACTGAGCTGACTTTTGAGTCGACTTTTGCGTCGACTGAGCTGACTTTGGCGTCAACTGAGCTGACTTTTGAGTCGCCTTTTGCGTCGACTGAGCTGACTTTTGAGTCGAAGTGACTTTTGAGTCGACTCAAAAGGGACGGTGTGTGAAGGGTTGTGAAGAGAGGATGTGGCGGACGAGATGACTTTTGAGTCGACTTTTGCGTCGACTGAGCTGACTTTTGCGTCGACTGAGCTGACTTTTGAGTCGACTTTTGCGTCGACTGAGCTGACTTTTGCGTCAACTGAGCTGACTTTTGAGTCGCCTTTTGCGTCGACTGAGCTGACTTTTGAGTCGAGGTGACTTTTGAGTCGACTCAAAAGGGACGGTGTGTGAAGGGTTGTGAACAGAGGATGTGGCAGACGAGAAGAGATGAGAGAGGGGGCAGGAGGAAGACGTGAGTGGGGTTGTTTGTTGTGAACGGGGGAAGTGAGGAGTATTTGAGGGAATTTTCAGAGGGGGATGGCAGGTGGAGAGGGGTTGAGTGCAGGTGGAAAGGGGTTGAGAGGGGTTGAGTGCGTACCTTCTGCCACGTCATGCACAATTGCCATCTTGATGCATCTGTTGATATACACACAAGGCGGGATATGTACACGTGGCACACACAGACACACACGTGGCACACGCAGACACACGAGGCACACACACACAAAGGACATTATTGTCTTGCGATTTCTTTGTCATATGTATCCTATCCCGCTGCCCTCCCCAGCTCCCTTCCCATAAAACCTCTCCCATCCGTCTCCCATACCTTTCCACCCACTCAACCCCCCTCTCCCCTCCCCTCACCTCTCTCTGTCGATCCCCTCAACACCAGACAACACAAACGCCATCAGAGCCATGCGGTGCATGTGGTCGCCTATCGACTCTGGCCCCTGCACCACCCAAATCCTGCAACCCTCACCTCCTTTCGACACACCCCTCACTACCCAGCACTCACCTCTCATGGCCCTGATGGCGTTCGTGCTGGGTGGAGCGCCATGCGGTGCATGTCTATCCACCAGCTCCCCGTAACCTCATCACCCCTAACCCTCACCTGCTTTCCACACACCCCTCACTACCCGCACTCACCTCTCTCTATCGATCCCCTCCACTCCAGCCAACACAAACGCCTGAGCGCCATGCGATGCATGTGGTCGCCGATCGACTCTGGCAGGGCCCTGCACCTCCCAAATCCCTCAGCCCCCACCTCATTTCCACACACCCCTCCTCACTACCCGCACTCACCTCTCTCTATCGATCCCCTCCACTCCAGCCAAGACAAACGCCATGAGCGCCATGCGGTGCATGTGGTCGCCGATCGACTCTGCGCCCTGCACTCCCCGCTTAACCCACCCTGTCCGTTTCAACGTCTGAGATTGTGGGGGTTGGGCAATGGGGGGAAGGGAGGGGTGGGGAGTGGGGAAAGAGTTGGAAATAAGGTTTGCTCGCCTACTTTTGAGGCGCCTCAAAAGGGTAAAGAGGAACGACCTTCAATCCACTCTGGCCCCTGCACTCCCCGCTTCACCCATCCCGTCCCCTCCCCTTTAATGTCTGAGAGTGTGGGGAGTTGGGGGGCAATGGGGGGACAGGGGAGGGTGGGGAGTGGGGAAGGGGCTGGGAAAGAGGAACGATCTTCAATCGACTCTGGCCCCTGCACTCCCCGCTTCACCCATCCCCTCCCCTTTAATGTCTGAGAGTGTGGGGAGTTGGGGCGGCAATGGGGGGAGGGGAAGGGAGCGGTGGGGAGTGGAGAATGTGTTGGGAAAGAAGAATGCTCGCCGATTCACCCACCCACCCCTTGCGCTTCAGGGTCTGAAGAGACAGGGTTTAGGGAGGAACAGGGAGGGAAGGGAGGCGAGGAGAGAGGCAGAGAAGTGGGGGGGGGGGGGGGGGCGGGCACGCATGGCCCCATGAGCATGTTGACTATCGTCTCAGTTTGAGGCGCCTCAAAACGAGAGAGACAGGGAAGTGGGGGGGGGGGGAGGCACGCATGGCCCCATGAGACGATTTTTGAGGTGCCTCAAAAATCACGCATGGCCCCATGAGCATGTTGACTATCGACTCAGAAATACGTGCTTCGATAATCTCCCTCCACACGCCACGCGCGCAAACCGTCCCTGTTTTTGAGAGGGAGATGGCGGCGTTTTTTGAGTGACTTGAAAGCATGTTGACTATCGTCTCAAAAATACGCGTGTGATGAGTCGGTTTTTGAGTCGACTCAAAAACCGACTCATCAGATGGCGACGGTTTTTGAGTGACTCAAAAGCTTGTTGACTATCGACTCAGAAATACGTGCCGCAAAAATCTCCCTCCACACGCCACGCGCGCAAACCGCCTCGCAATCGATCGCTCTCCTGGAGGGGCGCGGGCAAAGGTACGCGCTCGTTCTGATGATTGTCTCGCTTTTGAGAATTCTGATAACGGTTACAAGCAATCGTACTTTCCCGAACTGTTTTGACTGTTCACAGATCTCAAACACAGGTATGCGCTGATAAGGTGAATCTAGCCTCTGTACCGTCGGATCGCCGGACCTTTAGCGGCTGGATCATCATCAAGAAATCGACGGCTGACGATGCCTCTGCTGGACCAATCGTGCTGACCCCCGCGGAAGGAGCTGCTGCCCCCGTCGCCGCCGCTTCCGCCATTCCCGCCCCTGCCGCCATTGTTTCCGCCATCCCCGTCGGCCCCGCTTCCGCCATTCCCGCCCCTTCCGCCGTTTCCGCCAACTCCCGCCCCTGCCTCTGTTTCCGCCGGTCTCACCGCTGTCCGCGATCCAGCAGAGAGGCTGAAAATGCTCCGCGCGTGCTCCGCGAAAGGGGAAAGCGGAGGAGTAACAACGCGAAACGCGGGCGAAAGTTGTCGCTGTTGATTCTGCTTTTGAATCGTTAACGCACAACCGGATTGGGCGGTTAGGTTCTTAGAGCTACAATTGCGGACTGCGTTGGCTAGATCCGTTCTAAAGCTAGTCGCGACGGAGATTCTTAAAAGATGCGAACGCGTTAGATGCACTCGCGAGATATGCATTCCGCTTAGAATTGACGAGCAGGTGAAAGCACCGGATACCAAGTGGCGTGAAGTACGAAGTTCCAAGTGAGGAATATTGACTGTTGCAGGGATCGAACCCGCGTCTCCTGGATAACGAGGTGCGAGGGTCCCCAGACAAACCAGCTTCTTGAGTCCCGAACCAACCATCTCGAAACGACACGTGGCAGATGCTACCCACAACATACGAATGTACAAAATCACTTCGGCGCCTCATAAATGGAACTACGTACCTTGGAAATTTATACTTACCTGGGCGGGGTCAATCGGTGATCAATAAGGCCGATGGCCTAGGGGCGGGCCCGCCATTGCACTTCGGCCGGCCCTGTCCCTAGCACGCCGGAACTCCCGGTGATGCACGTCATAATTTGTGGCAGAGGGGGCTCGCGTTCGCGCGGCCCCTACCAAAGTAAATTTAAAAATTGGGATAGTCATGTTGAGATCATATGGTGGGAAATTACTACATAGTGAGAATAATGTCATTGATACATAGCATTGTACATTCACCTCAACAATGGAGTAAGAAAAAATATTGCACTCACAATCACAACCACAGTAAGGTTTGACACGAGGACAGCAACTCAACCAACAGTAAGGATTTACACAAATTCTGCACTATTTATCCAAATTTCAGCAAGCCATCTTAGGATGGTGGTATTTGGTACAAAACTATTGTCAACTTAGGAATGGTAAAGCGGCTCGTGCTGCTGCTGCGGCTCGTGCTGCTGCTGCGGCTCGTGCTGCTGCGGCTCGTGCTGCTGCTTCCGTTGCTGTTGATGGTGCTGGTACTGCAACACCTAGCTCTGTGCTTCAGCCATGTTTCATCAGCAGACCTGCAAGCACATGGCACAGCCAATTGCTGGTACAGTGGCTGCTGCTCCCGTCATGATGCTCCTGATGCTGCTGCTGATGCTTGTCTCTGCTGTCTCTTCTCCTTTCCCCCCTCCTCTCTCCCATCTCCTCTCCCCTGTTGCACACAGAGCAGCAACTTCTTTTCTCTCTCCCACTGAACCTCCTGAGCCTGCTGCTGCCTCCTCTGCTGTTCCCAGCAAAGCCCCAACCTCCCTGCAACTGCATCATCTGCAGCCCATCGCACATGCCAGATGTCACCCCACCCCTTCCTGCACATGCCACTGCATTGCTGCACGTGCTGCTGCCCCCGCTGCTTGGGCGTGGGATGCCAGGGCGGTAGGAATGGCACATCCATACATGGCACATCCATACATGGCACATCCATCAATGCGTTCGGAAATGCCACTAACCCCATGCCGTGCTGTGGCTTGTGTCTTGCCCGGTGCCACGCTTTCAGCATCCCTTGCAGCATGTCTTGAGAACACCCTTGAGGCGTCTTGAAACGCGTCAATCTCTCTGCTTCAGCCCTCAACCGCTTTGCAGAGCGCTCAACACATCCATATGCTGCCTCACTGTGTTCAGTTATACCAGCCCCATACTGTGCCATACTCTGTTCCATGCCCTCTTGCTGTGCCATGTCATGGGCCACGTCAGCAGCATGGGGTTCAGCGGTGTCAACTTCAGCAACCTCAGGCCCAAAAGCCTCGCTATAAGCACGCTTCATTATCCACCCGTTGCCGCTGTGGGATCGAACTAGCATGTCAGCTCCTCCAAGTGTTGACTGATCAGCATTCTCCCCATCAAGCCTTGTCGGAGTAACAGCGGCAGCAGCATGTGTGCTGGAAGCATGTGCGGGTGGTTGCAGGGAAAGGACGAGACAAAGGCCGGAAGCTTGTGAATCGGAATCGCTTTTGCTGCAGGCAGATTGAGGGGAAACTGGGAAGAGAGGAAGCTCCGAAGCTGTGTGCTGGTGATGCTAATGCTGGTGATGCTGTTACTGGTGATGCTGCTGCTGGTGATGCTGTTTCTGGTGTTGCTGCTGCTGGTGATGCTGCTGCTGGTGATGCTGCTGCTGATGATGGCTGCTGCTGATGATGCTGTTGCTGGTGTGGTGTTGGAATCAGAACCCGGTGAATCGGAATCGCTTTTGCTGCAGGCGGATTGAGGGGTAACTAGGAAGAGAGGAAGCTCCAATGCTGCTGCTGGTGATGCTGCTGCTGGTGATGGTGCTGGTGCTGGTGATGGTGCTGGTGCTGGTGCTGGTGCTGGTGCAGGTGATGGTGCTGGTGATGGTGATGGTGCGGTGTTGGGTCGAGGAAGAGCGGTGGTGTGGTGCGGGCTGGAATCACTTTTGCTGCAGGCAGATTGAGGGGTAACTGGGAAGAGAGGAAGCTACAATGCTGATGCTGGTGCTGGTGATGCTGATGATGCTGATGCTGGTGCAGATGCTGATGCTGATGCTGGTTGATCACGGCCGTTGATTGTGGATTGAAGGGCCCTGGATGAACGCAGCAATGGCTGAGGGAGTAGCAGTGGCAGCAGCAGAGGCAGCGGCAGTGGCAGCAGCAGTAGCAGCAAGGGGAGCACGCGTACGTGTGGATGGGTCTGATTGGAGGGTGGGAAGGAGACGGGTGGTAGGGCTAGTAGGTGTTTGAAGAGGGCCGTTGCCTGCAGAGAGAAGGGGCTGGATGAACCGCAGCAGTGGTTGAGGGAGTAGTCATGCAGCAGCAGGGGCAGCAGCAAGCAGCAGCAGCCAGCAGCAGCAGCAATGGACGAACGCGCAGGGGTGGATGGTTCTAAACATTTCCCTGAGCTTGCGGATTGAGGGAGGCCGTTTGATTGCGGGATTGGAGGGTCAGGATGAACGCAGCAACGGCTGAGGGATCTGCAGAGGCTGGCAGTGATGATTGGAGCAGCGGCACCTGGGAATCACTGGCGAAACACCCGAGGAACCACCTGAGAAAACACCTGACGCACCACCTGAGAAAACCACTGAGGTAGCACCTGAGGCAGCACCTGAGATAGCACCCTGAGGCAGCACCCGATGATAGCACCTGGGGGTAGCAGCTGTTACCATTCCACTGCCTGTCATGGTAGGTCGAGAATTCCGCAGCAGCGACGGGTTTTTCTCGCGGACCCGATTGCAGGCGGCAGCGGGGCGCGACTGCGCATCTGCAGCCGGGAGTTGTGTTTGCCGCCCACGACC